AGCAGAAAAATACACACTGCCCATCAGTAGCCTCTGGTGCATTTACTTAAAATCCACCGTCCAGCAAAGATAACCAGCATTGACAAGAGTCCAGCATACACCAGAACTTCAGAATGCCCAGAATGAAACCTACCCCCTAACTTTCTTTCTGTCGCTGACAGATGAGGCAGTGACTCTTGTGGAGAAGGACTGGTCCCTCACTATTTATTTATGGAGAGTCATCAGTGCCCACAGGGCTTTGTGGCGAAGTGAAAATGTCAGGAGGAAAATCCTGGCTCTGTTGAAGTCAACAGGATTTTTGCCGTCAACAGGATTTTTGCCATCAACATCCATGGGGCAGGATTTCATTGCAAACCATTGGCCCGAGGAATTTGCTGTCTGAAATCAGGGACTCTGGAGTGCCGCAAAGGACACATCTTGCCTTCATTTGATCTTTCTAGCTAAAGAAGGGCTGTGGGTTCAGGTTTTGAAGGGCCACTGGAATCCTGGGCATTTCTTGATACTTTCTGTTGATACCAGCTCCCCAGTGGACCCTTTGGCCATAAAGCAATGAGGAAGAGGTACATTTGGGGTGAGAGTCACTCCTGTGCAGAAGGAGGGTTTAACTGGGACTTGAGGGTTTAACTGGGATTTAGGTGGTGCACAGGCTTTGTGCTGGGGTGAAATTTCCCCTTGCTGCACAGATTCAGATGTTGGAAAGAACATTCTCCTTTGGTAGCAAGCCAAGATCTGAGCTCTTCTTTCCACAAGGCCCTTTCACCCTACCCCACAGGGATCTTGCAGTGAGCAGGACTCAGATACTTCCATGTTCAGACCCTTTACGCTGACAGAGTCAGGTAAAAGGGGCCACCGTGTCATGGAGGGGCCCCTCTCTATTGTGAGCCCTCTCGGTTTGCATGCTCCAGCTGCCACTGTGTATAGCAGCACGGTGCGGGTATGTGCGCTGAGCATGGCTTCTGAACTAACTCAGGTTGATGTGGGGATGGAAATAGGCACAAAAGCAGGTCAACTGAAAATGCCTTATTATCTCTGCCTTGTAAGTCTGTCCCCTTCTTTGAGCATACAGGTGTCTCTCTTCCCACCAATGCCCACTGGGTTTAAATGGGTACACCTGTGCATAGTCAATCCCCTGCTCAGAACTGAGAAGTCTTTTTCCTCTGTGTTCTCTACCGTTTAGAAGCACATCACAGAAGCAGGGGGAGTCTGCAGCAACTGCACAATGCACTTGGCTTACGTCGGCTCTCTTGCCTCTCCATAGCCGATGGTAATGTAGCAGTAAATAAATACAGGAGAGAGGATAAAAATGAATCTAGTGCATCTGTATGACTCCTTTCTGCACAGAAAGATCAGATAGCACTTCCCAAGTGACAAACTGACCTACCAACTACACCCCAGGGAAAAGCAGCCACTTCTGGGGCTAAAGGCCCCAGCATGTAGCTCCACAACCCAGCAGTTTGAGACAGGAAGTGAAGAAGGACCCTGGAACCAATTCAAAATGCAGGAAAAGTTTGAGGCAGAGAGCAATCACCAAACTGGCAGTTAGCACACTGGGTTTTAACATCTAGGTCAATGTTTCCCAATTTTATTTGGCCGAGGAACCCTTTTCAGCTTTTCAGAATTTCAAGGAACCCCTAGGCTTGTCAAGCAAAATAAATAAATAAAATTGGGGGGCAGGGGAGGAGAGAGGGACCCACCAATTTATGAAAATCACATTCCTTCCCCCATCTCCCTTCTGTGAGGCCTTATTCACTCTGTTCCCTTCTTCTCCATCACTTGCTATCCCCAACCCTTATACCTGTCTCAACCTAGTGAGAGTGAGGTGTGGGAATGAGGGATTTGGGTGTGGGAAGGGGTGAGAAGTACAAACTCTGGGCGGGAATTTGGATGCAGGAGAAGGGGCTGTTGACTCAGGGAGGGGGCTCTAGGCTGGGGAGGGGTGGGTTCAAGTGGAAGGTTGGGGTGCTGAGCAAGCCAGGGCTTGTGGCTGTGAGGGTGCAGGAGTTTGGGCTGGATATGTGAGGAACTCAGGGCAAGGAGTTTGTGAGTATGATGGGCTCAGGACACAGATCTGTGATGTGTGGATGGTGGGGGGGTGTTGTGGCAGGAGAC